GCTTGCCTATAGGTAGCTTCTCTAGAGAAGTTAGGATTTCATTGAAAATCCCCTCTCTCTGCGTAGGATTCATCAGGAATATCTGAGACAATACGTTCATGGCCACTAGACGAAGGGCATCAAACTTTTGAACACCCACGACCGAGTCCCTCTCTGCGTGTGCATTCTCCACGAATATTAGACGTGATGCTACGAACTCTAGAGTGTGTACGACAGTCTCAGAGAGATCGATGCTAACTATCAAGTCAGACATTAGAGAAAAGACTTTCTGGCAAGTAGTGAAAAGGGTGCTAATGGCCTTCTTGTGTATCGTAAGCAGGCGGAACAAGTTACTAGTAGGACCAGTGCTCCGCAATTCAGCTGTTGGGATGATAATGTCACTTATGACATTTCTGAAGAGATTTAAGCCTTGTTGAATTAGGTCTTCAGAATACAGCTGTCTCTCCTCCCGGCCGCCGCACATGATGCGGAATGATGTGCGCGCAGCTTTGAGACCCATCTCGATATCATGGAGCTGCTGTGCCCAGAACCCAATTTCGGTTTCTCCCCATGCCTCGTCTAGCTTAAAGTCGAGCGCATCCGCGTGCTTCAAAGAACCTTCGCTCAAACTTTGGATCCGAAGTAGATCATCCAAGGGTGCTTGACGGAAACAACCAAGGCTAATGGCCCTGTTTATTTGCTTATGAGCTTTGTCATGTGCAGCTATTGTCATCGTAGGTTCTTGTTCATGCGTTAATGTAATTAGATGCGACGCAGTACCTCGCTCGTTTGATAGGTAATCCTCGGCAGAAAATATCTCCTGGAAACATCTGCGCAAGTCCCCAAAAGCGGCATTGGCAAGCTCGCGCTGGTTAAGCTCTCCCCCAAAGGAATCTTCGAAATCATCATGGGCGGTTCGTTTTCTTTTCGCGGACAAGTGTGTCGGAACTTCAGGCACATCTGGAACTACAGCGAATTCGTCTTTATTGAAGCTAGCCGCCGGCAGTTCAATTTGAATGGCGCCATGCTTGAGGGAAGCCACTGATGATGTAGGTCGATCTTGGTCTGGTACATGAGACAACTGCTCGGGAGCTTCTGTTACCTCTTCTTTGGGTAAAATAGCCTGCGGCATGGGTGTTTCGGGTTCTACATTCGAGGCCGATGAAGGTGGTACTTGCGAGGTTTGTGAGACCGGAAGAATGGGTGGCTTTGGTGTCACCATCAGGTCCGCAAGTGAAACTGTCTGAGCCTGAATTTGTGCAGCCAGAGGTGATGATGGAGATGGAGCAAGAGGTCTAGGGGGAGTGTATATGGAAGCAGCAGTATCTAATTCTTTTCGGGTGGGCAGATGAATTTCGATGCGAGATTTGTTTTGAGCGACTGCTTGCGCATTTGAAGTAGCAGGATTATGCTTGACTACCTTAGGCGGTTCTTGTCTGCGTACCTTGGGCGACGATTTCTTCGATATTCGGGGAGACATACCATGACCATGGCCGGGGCCATGGCTGTGACCGTTCGGTGTTGGAGCATTTGAGGATTCGGTATTAGAATAACGGAAAGAGATGGAGGTATTGTCATAAACCATCTTGGCGAAAGGCGAAATCCCATCGGCGACACTTTTGGCTGGCTTGTTAAGTGGTACTGTAGTTTTCGGCGCAGTTTTAAATCGGCTGCCACGATATTCGTCAGCATATGGAATACAACGAGATGTACTTATTCAAAGGATCCTATAGGTATACTCACAAGTGCGTGATCTTGTCTGTCTTGAGAAGGTGCTGCACGAATTCAAGGCTTCCCTCAACGCGCTTCGAGTGACCAGACGTTTCAACTTCCTTATTCAAGGCATCGTAGTCTTCTCTAGAGACTAAACCGGCGAGAGATGGTGCGAAAGGACCAGAGCCAATCGTGGGATTGCTGATGATATCTTTTTGAGTTTTAAGTTCTCGTTAGGTTCAAGGTCACGCGGAAAATGTGCTCGCCGTCTAATGTCTATTGTCTAATCGCGCAAAGTGCAACTACGACAGAGAGAAGGATCGGCCGGGGAATTCAAGACTCACCTGGCTCAAAAGGAAAGACCGATGTGAAGGGTGTATAAGGGAGGGCTTCACCTAACGTGAAGGGTTTCGATGTCTGCTGCTGCGGTTGTTGATACATATTGGAACCAGGACCGGGCTGCGGATAGCCGTGTTGATTGAAATGAGGCACGATGCCATTCTGATTGCTAGACTGAGGGTTTGCCATCGTAATCCAACCCTCCAATACACTGCAATCAAGCTATTTGGGTTCCAGCTGCGCTGAAGTCGGTATGTTTCTCACCTCATCGCAATCACCTTATTGGTAAGAAATGTAGCGGGAGCGTGAATTGTGCCATACGCAGTGGTGTTCGTCTGGTTTGATGACGACGTTGAAGGCTGGCCTATCGTGGGAAAGTGTCTCTGGATCGGAGATGTGAGAATGGAAAGTTAACTGGAAATGCTGAACGCGAACAGACGAACAGCCTGATAGTCCAGCCTTGCGCAACTCGGGAAGCTTTAGGTAAGTACATGGTATTTTCAGTGAGGCGCATGTGGATTGCGACCTATTAGTAGTAAGTACCTAGGTACCGCACGTTTGCACATGTGCACATTCCATGCACTGATTTTTAGCTCCTATTTTATGTACATACTAGCCTTGTACGTAACTAGGAGCGTCAAGTGATTTACATAAGGCAGCGGGTCTTAGGCTAACAACATTGGAAGGATGTACTGTACATAGGTACCTTGCACTAGCGGGATGTGGGTACGCATAAGTTATCGATAAAGATGCGAGTCTATCGATAATGAATGTGAATATCCTACCGTTTTTTTCTTCCGTAACAAAAACCAACTCCAGATTCCAGAATAGTAAGCTTCGATCGCAACAATGGCAGCTATAGGCTCCTTGGTTTTCTGTACCGACTGCGGGAACCTACTTCCTGTATCCAAAGGAAACGAAAAAAACATTCTCAATTGCGAATGTTGCGGCGCCGAGAATCAAGGTTAGTCATAGCAATGCATCTAACATAGCACCTAGCACCTCTTTTTGCATGTCCAGCAGTAACCCTTACTAATATTGTTAACCGGCAGATACGGCAGCAAAGACGACTGTCACAGAAAGCAAACCCTCGGATTTCCCTTCCTTACTTCGACAAAAACTTTCAATCGTCCAATCGGTGAAGCGACATGATGTTCAGACCGAAGCTGTCATAAACGAAACATGCGAGAAGTGCGGGCGCACCGAAGTTAGATATACAGCAGTGCAATTGCGCAGTGCTGATGAAGGCAGTACAATCTTCTTCACATGCGAATGTGGTCACAAGTATGTCGTTTTCTCTACTACTGATTGAGCACAGCTAACCAGGAATCTCAAAAACAGATGGAATACAAACAATTGAGACTTTTCTAATAGAGACTACCTTGTAAATCTCTCAAGTAGTTGCCATAAACCCAAACGCAAGTCGTATCAATTAAAGCAATACGTATGCGCGTCCTTTTTGGTATCCTTCAGCCAACCCCCCGTATAACGCCGATCCCACCTACTTGCCCTATGTCGCTACCTTTGGAGCTTCTGGGATAAGAGCATACTCGGCTTGGTTCGATTGTTCGTAATCAGCCATGTCTAGAGCAACAATGACGCTCTCACGCACAACCTTCTCTTCGTCATGAAGGAACTTCTTCAAGACTTCCTCAACACCCTCCTCTTCACCAAGGCTTCCGAGTGCTTCTGCCGCTTCATGTCGAACCATACTAGCCTCCTCGAGATTACTCAAGGCCGAGGTGAGAGCTGGGATCGAAGCCGGATGAGAGAGTTGGCCAAATACAAAAGCAATCTCGTGGCGAAATAAGGCCGAGGAGTCGGCAAAACCCTTGGCTAAAGCATGGACGGCGGGTACTGCAGTCGGCAGGTCTGGCGGCGATGCAAGGTCGCGAAGTGCGAACATGGCGCGGTATCGAAGGAAGAGCGGTAGGTTCGTGTCCATCAATGTCTTTTCCAGGTCTTGGACAGTCTGCTCGGAGTTAGGCATCGGAGGAGCGGGGTCGACCGAAGCGAAATCACTATTGTCTCTCGTGGTTAGGCTTAGGCTCAATGAATCTCACACGTATAGTCAATACGCAAACAACTAAATACCACGCATACCTTTGACGTAACTTCTCTGCTTTCCGTTGTTCCGAGTTTTCCCACTCGATTCTGTCGATAGCAATCTCACAAGTCTCCTTGATGACCACCTCTTCTCCCTCGCGATCGCGGAACTCGCGCAAGATGTCTAGGTTTCCAGCATCGCCTAGAGCGCCCAGAGCCTCTGCCGCTTCGTGTCGACACATCGGATCTTCTTGCAAGTTTGCTAAGACCTTTTGTAGGTAGGGTACAGCGGCTAAGTTAGCCGATTGGCCTAGGCAGTAAGCCAACTCATGTTTAAGAAGCGCAGATGGAGAAGCGAACCCAGCAGCGATGGCATCGATGGCGGCGAGGGCTCTGTCACCTGTCTCGTGTCGTGCTAAATGTTTGAGGGAGAAGAGAGCGCGGAATCGGACGGGTAGTGGGGTAGCTTCGGAGCAGAGAGATTCGCGAAGGCTCGCGATAGTCGCTGAATTATCTGTTTCGGATGCCATGATCCGTAAATAAGTAAAGTACGATCACTTTACAGTTTATGAATTTTAGGTGAGGGAGGATATGACAAAAAAGATTAATCATTAACAAAAATGCCAAATCTTAACTTTGCGAAATTTCGAGCGATGACTTGCAAGTTCAGGTATTTTATCAAGTAGTAAAGTCAGACGATAAGGCAGACAACCCCTCTATCAAGATCCCTGAGAAAATTCTCCGCACTAAAGGTAGGTACCTAGATACACAGTGGACCCAAGCCCCTGGATCTCTCTAGCACTCAGCCCTTGATAGAATTTTAATTGGTTACGAGAGTTGATTGCAACAAAGCGATATAGTACTTAGATCCAGCAAATTTGGCAACGTCAGCCATGGTTACAAGCTGGATTGATGTACGTGATGGTTTCCTGGTGTAATGGCTAGCACTGCGGATTCTGATTCCGCCAATCTGGGTTCGATTCCCAGGGAGACCTTTCGTTTTGATTTCTTAACCTACTTGTCTATACCTTCAATCCGAATAGGTTTTGTACCAAAATTTTTACTCTTGGGTACTAGTACTTTCCAGACCGGTTCAGGGTTCGTGGTACATATGTGGTTACCAGATAACAATAATTAGGCACATTTTACGGAAGGGACCACCAATCCTCAAACATTTTACGTACCTACTTACCTGCGTATCCTTTTTATTGATGATGCTATGTATAAATAAAAGTTAAAATCGCATGCGCTAAATGTCTTAGTCGTATGAGAACAACGTGACTCCCTTCAGTATTTCTGCGGTCGTCATCACTATTTTGCAGAGTCTCTTTTTTGCATCTTCATGTTTTCAATCATCTCACGGTTCCCACTAAGTACCGGTAGAATGGCTTTACATTCAGCTAGTATAAGCAACAAGCTCATTTGTAGGTACAGCTGCATCGTCTGATTGTACAACAGCTTTAAATGCTCACTACTAGATTAGTTGCGCCAGCAGGTAAAGAGGATCATGGACAAGCGGAACAATTCACCAGAGGCGCACTGGCTCGCTCGGATCTAGATCAAGCCTCGCCCATTCGCCAGTTCCATAAATGGTTTGAGGCGGCACAACGATCAGGCAGGGTTGCCCATCCTGAAACGTGCTGCTTGTCCACTGCATCACTACCCTCCGGCCGTGTCTCATCCCGCATGGTCTATCTAAAGGAACTTGACCCCGAGGGCTTCGTTATCTATAGCAACTTCGGGACGAGCAAGAAAGCGCAAGACCTCAGCACGAATCCTTGGGCTAGCCTTACCTTCTGGTGGGAAGACCTTGAACGCCAGGTCAGAGTGGAGGGTCGAGCAAGCAGGCTTACCCACGAAGAGAGCCAGAAGTATTTCGACACGAGGGTCCGCGGCAGCCGGATCGGCGCCTGGTCAAGTCGCCAGAGTCAGGTTTTAAAGCCGACCCAAGGGGGTGCCGGTGACGAGGAAGATGATGGACGAAAGGTGCTTGATAGGTGGGTTGAGGAGACGGAGAAGCGATTTGAGGGCGAGGAGAATATTCCAGTTCCCGACTTCTGGGGCGGCTTGAGAATTGTACCTGAGTCCGTGGAATTTTGGCAAGGCCGACAGAGTCGACTGCATGATCGATTTGTCTACGACAAGAAAACAACTGTGGATGAAAGTGTACAGGAATGGACCCTGGAAAGGCTCAGCCCATAGCAAGCCGTCGGCGTATCCCAACTGCATCTAGCATAGATGATCGCAACGTCAGATGTAAGTGGCTAGAATCGAAAATCGGGAAGTTTGTTGCAATCGACAGTTCGTCTTTGCCGTTTTTAAATTCCGATTTTCCACAAAGCCTCCTTTGGGCTCCCCGAGCAGTCACCCGCCCCCCTCACCAAGGAGTTAGCTAATCAGAAGCGCAGCCAAATGTGTAAAGGTAGGTACCTAATTTAAAGCATACCTAGGTATATACCATTACCGCGCCTCTCAGCCTTACAGTACGTATCGTGAAAGTCCGATGGCGGAAGAAGTCATGTTTCACTCACCAAACCCTTCATTTAACTCCGAGCTTGCCCTAGCGACAAATTTGTTTTACCATAATCCTGCCCGTCGCCGCGGGATATACCAAATATACCTATGTGTTTGACTGAACGTTCCATTACATGTCTACTAAATATATAATGAATAGGTATATCAACATATCATTTCATATTTTATATGTGCGAGTTTTTTCGATTATTTGTGTGGTATGGACGGTATCCTAGTCGCCGCCTCCCCGAGTTCTTTGGCTACAATCGCTTCCCTGAATGGTGGCGTTACTAGGTACTAGGTAGGTAGATATAAGGATTGTTATCGGTCCACCAGGCAATAGTCCTAATGCGGACTTCGTTCCTCGATCATCGACCGATCTGAGATGAGAAGCCATCGGTCCAGCAATAGACTCAAAACAAAGACAGCTTGTAAGTATACCTGATAGGGGGTTTGTGTCGACGACAAGAGAAATCTATGGAAATTCCAAGACGCATGCCCAGGGGTCCTAACTAAAATGTTTAACATACATGATGCGATGTGCAGTTCTCCGTACAATATATCCTACATGGAATGCGAGCTGTAGCTATATGGGTTGTACTCTAGACGTCTCCGATGCACCTGGGCTTTCACTGAGTAAATATCTATTATTCTAATAAAACTTCTTCCTATGCCCAGCACCTGTGTGTTCCCAGCTATATTATGCCTTAGGTAGTCTGCGAGTAAGTTCCTTGAGTGAAACAATATTCCGCAGCTAGCTCTGTCTGAAGCTCTCTGTACATGAAGGGTTAATCTCCGAATGAAATGAGCCTCTTAGAGTGATATCTCGTCTCCTCCCGTCGGCTGGCTTATCCTCATTGCATGGGTCAGTTGTAATGGACCGTGTCAAATCTGTAACGTTGAATTCCGACATAGCTAGTAAGAAACTAACTGCACTGCATACCTAGTATGTACCTATCATTTTTATGCACCCGGCCGCCTCGCAGTTTATTACTGAGTAATTTCAGAAGTTCTTCGGTGGCTCACCACTTACTAGCTACCTAGGTACCTGTAAGCAAGATGCTTTAGCACCAGTGGCGTCTTACCCGCATTACTTACCTGCCTATTGTTCAAGCCCAAGCCTCTAACTTGACTTCAAATTGCAAGCCTCCTGTAGGTCTGAGATGCATCCAGTCGCAAACATATGTCTATGATGACACCCAGTTATCCAAGTTTATTATACACGGTTGTACGGCCATGTCCAATCAATATTTTATTTAGAAGACCGCAAAGTCAAGAAGACATATTCCATGCAAGTGCCGAACAGCTCTGCCGTGCCTACCTACGGTGAAGCTCCGAAAGGCGAATGCACCGAGCCGTAGCTACGATGCCATACGTAAGTGTATCCAGGATAATCGCAATCAGGACAGCCCATGAGTACACTGACGTCGCCGTGCCCTTCTAGATCGTAGGGAAATTCCCTTTTTCATGTATCATCTGAACCACACCTTGCTTGGATTTATATTTATTCAAGAGAAATTCTTTTCATCCTGACAGCTGAGGAGCCGTCCGCGGGGACTTTATAAAAGCATAACTCAATTCTCCTATGATACCTAGATATCCCATTCACACTCTACCAACTTCCAGCCTAGCCTATTCAAGTACGAGATATAGAAGTAATTGCCCGTCATCATCATTATCGTCACTATCACCTCACTGGACGTGACGACATCCAATAGTGTCACTTTGTTCAACACTTGTCACACCCCTTCGAACCTATCAGTTTACCAAGAATGTTCCATCGTTATCTAGTCTGAGGATACCGGAGCCTATTTTTATACATATGAACTACCTAGGCACCTAACATGGCAAAACTAGACGAGTCAAATCTTATCAGAATACGAAATAATCAAAGGAGATCACGGGCTCGACATAAGAAGTACGTGGAAGGTCTTGAAGAGCGAGTAAGGCAGTCAGAGCTCAAGCGTGTCGAGGCCAACTTCGAGATACAACAAGCAGCTCGACAAGTGGTAGAAGAAAATAAGAAGATACGAGAGCTCCTCAATCGCCTAGGATTCAGCAACGAGAAAATTACCTGCTTTCTTCGAACGGGCGACCTCGATGTCAATGATGCCACACTCCCGGAATCTCTCCACGACCAAGGGGACATAGGTCAAGCACTTAGTCTTTTTCTACAACAGACTAAGCGATCTATATCCGATTACGATACCTTCACAAGCACCCCTTCTCCTACTTCCGAGCTAAGCAACATTCGGTGCAACAGCATTTGCAGCGATGCTGCAGAATCTCCTACAAACAATCAAGAGCAGCCACGACTTTATGCTTCGGGGACTAACGAGCATTCGCAACTACATAACTTGGGCGCGATAGATGATCTTACTCTTGAACTTGAGGTACAACGTCTTTCGCAGTGCTTGGAATACAATATCCCTTCCACCTATGGATCTCCGCAGCCTCCAACCGGCCTATCTGACTCACTTAGCGGGTCTCAATTGTCGGAGTCTTTTCAATATATCACAGATATGGATTTCCAAGATCCTATGTCTTACGAACAAGAAGCGGGAAAAGGGCAGCATATGACGAATGGGTCTTTGATGGCTTCGTATTCAAGTCCACCGTCTCTCTCCCTAGATAGCAACAACTATATATCACCTGAGAGGGTGTACCAAGGCTCCCAATATCAAGATTACACGCATTCCGCCTATCCTTCCAGCGGGCAATATAGCAACTATATAGCTAATATGACGAGCGACTACTTATACTCTTCGGGTATAGCCGATTATCTTACTAACGAACATTTAACCCAATGAATACTGGGGGGAGGGATAGGTGAGACAAGGTATGTAATGCTTCGTCATCTGAGTCATCGGGGTTTGAATAATCTAATTGCGGACTTGTCACGGTAGATTCAAAGGCGCATTCCAAGACCTGTTGCCTACTACCACCGGCCGCATTTGGCAACCTAGCTCTTGAGAAAACCATGCGTCTTTGTCTTGTAGATTCTGTGAGAACATTCTGCAAGCGAATATATCGCGCAAGCAAACATCGATGCTGGCTCTGGTCGCTGTTTTCAGCAGGGAGAGAAGGCTTGAATGATACAAAGCTGGACAATAACTCTTTGTCTGATGCCTAATTATTAACACGTTTGACAATTTACAATGTTATCTTAGATTAAATACTTCTAAAAGCTACGAACATGATCTAATAGCTTTCCTATTTAGTAGTGAATCTGTAACACTTTACCATTTTATTCTTTCGCAACTACCTAATTTGCACATAAGTACCAACGAATAGCTAACACGGCATTGCAATTGCATTTGTAACACCAAAACAATTTGTAGACGATTTTTACACTTACGATAACTACAATAGACCTGAGTGCAGAACAGGCGCACTCGACCCCTAATACGGAGAAGGCAATATGGATGGCTATGATGGCTTCTTGAGCTTACCTAGAGAGTCCCGAAACTTCTATAGATCC